TGTTCGTACGAACCCTTTGTACGAACAAAAGTAAGAGAAATTTACGATAAGAATACGAACATGGTCTTGCATGAGGCCCATTAACCCCTGAAGTAGCATTTTAATAATTAGGTTAACATAACTGGTGGTAACCAGAAATACTCATGACTCTAATCCAGCCAAATCTATTATTAACTGTAATTTATTTGTCTGTTTTCAAAATTACAGACATTAATGAGTGTGACTATAGTATTTGTGGGAAAGACTCATTCTGCTTCAACACGATTGGCAGCTACTACTGTGTGTGCCACCCTGGGTTTATAAATTCAAGAGGGAATATTAACTTCACAGCTCAAACTGGACAGTGCATTGGTAAGTTTAAGTGTGTAGTGTGTGTGTGTGTGTGTGTGTGTGTGTGTGTGTGTGTGTGAGAGAGAGAGAGAGAGAGAGAGGCCATGCGTTATAACAGTCTCATTTTTTCCTTTCCCAGATACCAACGAATGTTTAACAAATAAAAACATCTGTGATCATTTGTCTAAATGTGAAAATCTAATCGGGAGCTATGCCTGCAACTGCCAGTCTGGATATGTCAACATAAATAATAACAAGACTTCACAATGCAAAGGTGAGTTATGTCTTTAAAAAACACACATTTTCGTTAGTTTTTCTCAGCTCTGTATTACTTTTTTTGTTGAACTCAGATTGAACAGGTAAAAATGATAAGTGGGCAGTGAGGAGCCATGTGCTGTTCAAACCAAATGTGTACAGACACTGTAAAAAAAGACAAGTCATAATTAAAATAAAAAATCTAACTAAAAAACTAATCCTTTCTTGTGTCTTGAGCAGGTGGTTGGTTTGAAAGCCACAGTTTGATCTTGGTTTAAAKCCTACTTGACCAACAGGAATTTTTCTGTCTAAAGCTTTGGTTATAATTTAATACAACGTGAGACAGCTGAGTGGTGATTGTGTCATTTTGCATCTCTTTTTCCTGACCAAGTATAAACGGGCTGAAAATGTGGTGAAACATAAATTATCATGACTCCTCCCTCTGCCCTCCCACAGCTCATATAAGTACATGAACAGCAATAACGATAGCTGAATACTGTGAGTTTTTCACTCRGCAATCAGTGTTGTGTTGGGATAAAAGGAAAAACGTTTTGTTTTTTTTGTTAACGGTGGTGATGGAAAAAAGACGTGAACATCAGCTGCATGCTCATGTTCAGTAGAATCAAACCAGCTGCTTTTAACTGGCTTCAGACAAAAAAATCATTTTAAACTAGAAGCACTCGGAGAGTGCAAACCTCTGCCAAGACCAACTTCCCCCATCCTGTAAGAGTTAATGTGCAAAAACAGAGATGGAAACACATTTGCTGAATAAGTTCTGACATAGCGAACATTTAAGCAGCAGTATGATGGGATTTGTTCCCGATGGAGTACAATGTGGAAAAAAGAAAAAAAGTCAGACTCGTCACCCGACGTTATTCATGGTCAAACTGGTGTGGGATTAAGCTCCTAAGTTTTCATCAGTCACATTTCACCATGTAAAACRTCTGTTTTATCTCCTTGTATGAGTTTGTAATGGTTTGACTCTCTTTATAAAGTGCTTCCTGGCTCCCCCCGTCTCCAAACTTTGAGGCCCAGCAGCTCTCTGTTTACAAGCCTAGTAGAGACAAACTGTTTTGATTGGTTGTTTCAGAAATGTGGTGTGTTTGAGGAAATGGGAAAAATAGGTTTCATGGTGCAGTCACACACTTCCTGGTCACAAAATGTTCTGTAAATGCGCACATTATGGCAAAAATTATTCATCATTAAATCTGGTTTTAACATTACTTTTATAAARTTTGAAGTCCGTGCTGTCCAATCCAGCTCACTGTTTTTTATACAAGCCCTGTGAAAGCATCACAGCTTTGCCGACCTCAGAGTGTTGAAAGAAAAAAAATTCCTGTATCTGCATCGTGATCTGGAACATCACCAAAATTTATTGGTGTGTTCCTTGACCCAGTACCCACATGTTGTAAAAATGTCATGACAATCCGTCCTCAAGTTTTTGAGTAATGTTGTCCACAGACAGACAGACAGACAGACAGACAGACAGACAGACAGACAGACAGACAGACAGACAGACAGACAGACGCAACATAAAACATTACCTCGCCCTTGGCGGAGGTAACAAAACTAGAAGCACTCGGAGAGTGCAAACCTCCACCAAGGCCAATTTCCCCTTTCCTGCAATAGTGAAGAATCCTTCAAAAAATTTCCTGCATCCGGATCGCGATCCAGATCATCACCAAAATTTAATGGTGTGTTCCTTTGGCCAACACCCACCTGTGTCCATAAGTTGTTGAGTAATTTTGTCAACAGACAGACAAATGTGATCTAAAACATAACCTCCTTGGCGGAGGTCATAATAATATCAGATAYTGATATTGGTTTAAATTTTCACATCGGTGCATCCCTATGTGGAACAGTTTAAGTCTTCACGTTCACTTTGCTGAGATTATTGAGGCTTTTAAATCTTTAATCAAGACCCGTCTCTTTTTTTATTTTGATGCAGGCACAGTTTGAAGTTCAGCTAAAGCTGATATGRCTTTTGATTTTACAGTCTGTTTCTGTAATTTATTTTTATCTTTCCTTTTCTAAATGATACACAGTGTATTGACTGAACTGTAGAGCACTTTGATCAACTTTTGTTGTTTTTAATGTGCTATATTGACAGTGATAATCTTAAATAACCAAAAACATAAAAGATTTAAACAGGTTTAATGYCCGTGACAAAATAAAATAAAATAAAAGATTTTGTTTTTATACAGTGTATGTAAACATCTGCTTTCAGCTTCATAAAAGCCTGATGTTTGTGTTGTTTTTTGGGTGATTTCTGTTGTTTTGAGTCTGAAAAGCTGTATTATGCTCAGTTTTTGCTCTTATGTTGATAATTTGATTAAAGAGTTTCTTCTTTAGATCAGTCAGCCTTACTTTCTGCGTCCTCYTCTGGTTTTAATTTACTAACTCTACGGCCTGCAGCGTCAGTCCTTGTCATAAATAGTTTCCTTTGTTCTCCTTATATCCTTGTTGTCTCCTTAGCTAGTTTGTATGATTGTTTCTCATCATTTGGCATTTTGCTCGTGGGTTTCCTGTTTCTGCTGCACTTTTGTTAATAAACATTCGTAGTCATCCTTACTATTAAACTTTAGTTTTTTTATGCACAACAAATTATTTTTGTCTTTATCTTTTTGATTCACTCAACTCCATAAAGATGAAAATTAGTTGGTTGCAGCAGGTTGTATCCGAGAAGATAAAGTTTTATTTTATCCCCACTTCTTGTTATTATGATTTAATGATGTTCAGGTACTTTCTGTCATATGCTGCCTAATTAAAACCTAATCCTCATTACTTGTGTAAACACCATGAACTTAAACTGCACTCAGACATAACGTCATGCAGTTTGCACACCAAAGATGTCTTTGGTAAATGCAGAAACACAGTGTAGCATTAACACAAGTAGAGAAGGTTTGTGAAAACAAACTGGCTGAAAACCCTGTTACACAGCAGGTCACAGCTCCAGCAGCTTTCAGGAAACCAGACCAAGTAAGGCTGCAGCAGCCTCGGAGTGTGGCTGAGAATTTCATGGTAAATTGTTACAGAAAAGAAAGAAAGAATGTATTATTTCTTTGAGCTTTTTTACAAACATGGATTGTAGTGATTAAATAAATACCAGAAGTTACTCAGTACTTAATGGTCAAACCAGTGAGTACAGCTGAGCTGGTGAGAGCTGTCCAAACTGAGATCCACAGATAAAGCCTTTGTTTCATTTATTTAAAATGAAAATTAGAATGTGTTGTCCTTTTCTTACTTGTTTATTCTGGTTTGAAAAGTAAAGTTCTGTTGTTACAATAATTGTAAGAATTATAMAAGTATAAAATTATTTGCTTAGTTTTTTTAAACCATCATTTTTGCTGTTAATAATTGACATGTTCAAAGTTTATTACTCCTTTTGATTTTAGACCGCTCTCATTAAAAAAGCCCCTTTACAATAACTGCTGAGTTGTTTTGTGTTTGGCCCTATCAGACCTGAAAGCTACACGCATTCTGGCAGAATGGTTCACAAGTCTTTATGACTGGAAGTAAAATCCATCCAGAGCGATCAGATCCCAGTTATCTGCTCCACGTCAGTCAGCTGATAAACAGGAAGTCATCTTGTCTCAACAGATTTCTGTCAAATCATCAGTCACATGAACTAAATCAACTGATGACTCATCAATTATACACCAACAAAACAGTTTTTCTTTCTTTCTTTCTTTCTTTCTTTCTTTCTTTCTTTCTTTCTTTCTTTCT